ATTGTCGTCTGTTGTTGGGATTAGATCACGGGACTGTCAGGCGATAATCGATCGACGGAGAACGATCGAAGGTGATCAGGCGAAGAATATATATATATATATAAGCGACCGGCGATGAATTTTATACCTGCTTCGCAAGCAAGGTCCGCTCTCGTAAAATTAAGGCAACCCTAAAGCCCAATCGCGAGCATCCGCTCTCCCCTTTTCCATCTCTATCTCTCTCTTTCTTTCGAATGCAGATCGCATTTCTTTAAATATCTGAGTAATTGCCCAGTCAATCGCGCCCGCACACCGGCAATTACATACGAAAATTATGTTGGAAAATTACTGGGTGGGCAAATGGGAGAATCGAAGAACGATACAACGGAACAACGCGCCGACGGAGAGAAAGATGGAAGAACGAGAGTGATAGAGTGACTAAACGCGCGCTTTGTCAGCGCCGGGATAATCGCATAGCGATTCTCGCGCATAATTCACTTTACTTTGACGCAATTTGCCATCTTGCGATCATGCCCGGATAAAGCCCTCCATCTATGCGTATTGAGACGCGAGAACGGCCACCACCGTCGACGAACGGCATTCTGACGGCGTGGCGCACGCGCTTGAGGATTATTTTAAAAGGGAAATAACTGGCGAAGCAATCATCCAACGTAATAATACGTCGTAATTAATCGCGAAAATTAGTCGCGGCAATAAGAGAATAAATTAAAATATATATAGGTTGTAATTAAAATAAGAAGAGAAATTTTTAGGGCGAATTATCCATACATGAAAGAAAGTTCATATAAACATTTACAAGATTGTCAAAATTCCACGATTATTCTTTGAAAACTATGTAGATGTAAAATGTACGCATATTAACCCGAATCTATAAAGTAGCATGACATTCTAGTATCTAATATAAAAAAAAATGACAGTTCCAGTAGCACTCCCTCTCTCTTTATATAGTTCTATAGTTTCTTATAACAATAAAAAAAAGTTCCACACTTTTCATACCAAAATTAGCATGTCATATGTTTAATTTTGATTTATTGATATACCAATTGCGGAACTTTTTTTGTATTTTTATAAAGAACTATAGAACAATAAAAAATGCTACTAAAACTGTCATTATTTTTTTTTTACATTACTAAAATATCATGCCAACTTTATAAATCCGAGTTAATATACGTACATTGTATCGAGTTTGCGGAGTTAATATACGTATCAACTTTTTTTTTCGATATGGAGAGCTCGGTCTCCAAATTCCTTTATTTTACTCCTTGTATAATTGACGGGCGGAGGAGAACAATCGGACATGACCTTTGATAGTTCAAATTCATGTCGATATACGCGTGATTAAGCGGACAAGGCGGAAATCGTCGCGTCGCGGCATATCACGTAATTATGGGGATTCTCGTGACGGTATGCTGACAGCTCGAAGCCCGGACCGGTTGCCGTGTAAACGGTATTAATCACAATACGCGTATTTGCGCGCACGTCGCATTGCTGCCGTACGTGTGCCGTTCATGTAACTATAGGTACCTCTGTAGGTGTTTGAGCCGTGTGCCTGTCCGCGCGCTGACAGTTCGTTTGAACGCAATTAGCGTGCCGCTCGCGATGGATAAGAGAACGAGAACGGCTCTCGGCTATCGTCCGCGTGATCGCCGAGTCGAATTAACCATTTTGCCGCGCTCGTAGCGCTGCAATAGACGAGAGAAGCCAATCGTTTGACAGCCGAGACCGATCTTGCATTGAGATACTATTTTTTCGATCTACGTTTATCCGCGGTTACGTGATAAGCGCCTATTCCCACGTAATTTCCACGAAATGGCGTACATTTTATTATCGAGTTTCTTGTATTTAAAAGTTAGTTTGCTGTCTTATAATATATAATGGTTAGTCGAACGTGATAAATCAAAATGTTATTATAAAATGTAATATATTAACGCATGATGATGCATGAATCTGCATCGCGAACATTTAGTTTAATTTAAAAAAAAAAAAAACAATAAAATTCTAAATTATTTAGACGTTCGTAAGAAATGCTTGTTAATATCAAATTATATTCTATGAAAATTAAAGCATTTTATCCTTAGTCTTTTCATTAATCGGATAAAACGTTAATGTGCTCATCGAATTGAAACGAATCGTTTATATTAAGCTAAGTGTTATTAAATGAATAGGATAATCTCGATCATGTCATTCTCGAGATACGACTCGACGGTCAACGTCGGCGGTAATCGCGCGTGGTTATCAAAGCGGCAAGAAGTAAAATATCTTACGACGCATTTCGACGTGTCCGTCGTTTTGCAACCATCTACTTATATACTTCTTTGTGGACACGGCAGCTACGAAACCATGACCGTAAATGTAAATGGGCGACGTCATCTCGCTCGGTACGACGCAGGAGGGATAAGACGAAAGAAGGAGAGGAAGCAAGAAGCGAACCCCAAGCATGATGAAAAGAGAGGGAGTGAGAAAGGAAGCAGAGAAAGAGTCGATCGTAACGACGAGGCTCAACTTTATGAATATTATTTTCCAGCAGATGTCCTGGACGATAGGACGTCGTCGCCGTCGTCGTCGTAATTAATGACGTCGTGGGTGCGACGGGGAGGGTAGCTCCAAGTTCGGAATAGGTTGAAAAGAGACAGAGGACAAGGTACGGATCGGGAGTGACGGGAGAGGGAACGAGTACGGAGACGCGGAGGCAGGCAACGCGTAAGGGGATGCCTGACGATAAGGAACCCGTAGCAAGGCAGCGAGAAACTGATGGCGGATGGTAGTTGGACGACGACAGACAATGCGCCTGAATTATGCCGGAATGACTGGGTAGTTTTAAAGCCAGGAAGCCGACATTAGCGCATTGATACCGAACATTCTGACTGCGGGGAACCATTAATATTACTTACTTCATAACGCGCGAGCCGCTGCCGCAACGTGCCGAGGGTCGACGGGAGCGCGATGGAAGCCGCGTGTCTCTCGCAACTCCGCCTTCATCCGCTTGTAACAACTGCTTATCCGCCAGTCATACATTTCCAAAATTTGATTTTATAAATATTATTCATGATAAAAAGGGAAATAATCGATAGATGCAATTATAATGATGTCGATAAAATTTGCGGCTGTGGCACAGAGAAAAAACTTAAGCAGTACCGTGATACCAGGTTGATACAAGATTTAATTGACCGTCCTGGCGGATAGACTTGAGGGGAAATGAGAGAGTTTTCCTCCAAGCGAGTAGATCAAATGGATTAGCGAGAACAAATCATCGGGATTAAAACGCGGCAGCGAAGGGGGTGAGAGAGGGCGAAACAAACGGCAGAAGGAGCAACGCAGTCTTCGGTCGCAGGCTTGAACGTTGTAAAATCAAAAGGACAAACAATTAATAAAGTCGGCGCCGTCGATTAATCAGAATTTAACTCGCAGTTAAATACTCGAGGATCGCCCTCGGTTGCGCGGCTGCTGGCGCGTATCTCGAGGGAATGAACGAACGCGCGGGCCACGCAGGATAAACAAAGGTTTACATCAGTGTCAGTCGCAACAAGTCCGAATTCGTCTAGGGTTCTCGCCATGAATATTCACGGTGCGCTCGCCGGTCCGCCGCCCTTCCACAGCAAACCATCCCCGTCGCTCTCGCTACTCCGGTCCGTTTCCCGGCCCCTCGTGTCCCCCCCTCCCTCTTCCCTCCCAGCCCGCTCCCCGCATCCACATCCGCTCCCCGTGGCCTCGTGCCCATTTACCACCCCCTGCGATATCCATCGAACGGCCACCAGTCAAAGGCTGAAATCACAATACGCGTTTGTCCGGTTGACGAAGTCGACGGTGGGGTCGACGGTAAAGCAAATAGAACGAGAGAGAGAAAGAGAAAGGGCGGCGCACAGGCGAGTGGGTAAGCGCGTGCGGGGGCCGAGTGAGTGGTCGGCGGCGGGGGCGGGGGCTCGACCAGTGGTCATTGCCTTTGAATTGGAAATTACGTTTCGGACGGCCAAGTGTCGATTTTCACCCCCCGTATTAACGGCTCTCCGCCAGACGCCGTGGAGGCGCGAGGCTTCGTTTCATCCTCTCGCACCTACCACCTCCTCGGCGAGGGTGAAATTCAAGATTTTCGGAATGCCGCACGTAGCGCCTCTTCCCTCGTCTTCTTTGTGCCTCGCAACCTTTTGTTTTTGCGGAATTACAAGACCAAAGAAGAAGGAGGAGGAGGAGGAGGAGGAGGAGGGAGAGAGAGAGAAAAAGAGTCATAATGAAGTAGAGCCTGCTGCTTCGCACCCTCTCCGCTGAGATCGACGAGGGGGTGTGGGTGCAAAGCCCCTTTCCGAAATCAACCCTTTCGAAGTAGCGTTGGCTCGTTGGTAGGCGCGAGTATTTCGCAGGCGCTCGAATGATTTAATCCCTGAATGATGGACGGGCACGTCGCGACGATGATCTGCGTGCCGTGAAGTGACAAGTGGTTAGGATCACGCGGAAACCTCGGTGGCTCGCTCTCCGGCCGCGACGGCGGCGGCAGCGGCGGCTGTGTTGGTGTCGGATGAAAACGGAGGCCGTCGGTCGGTTGGATGGATTTTGCGGCGTATAGGAGAGGGATAGGGTGCACGGCGCGGTAGGAGAGAAGGGCTCTCGCACCATACAAATCATGTTGGCATTACTACGTCAGGCCTGGACTCAACTTGTCGCGCAACCGGAAACTCGATACCGCTTCCCCGGTAATACTGATTTATCGGAAGTGCAGCAGCGGCCTAGGCCGCGTCATCGAGCTCGATATACGCGTTGCGTTCTGTATTTTTGCTGCCGTCCGTGATGTAGCGCGATTTTTCCGGCTAATCGAGAATTACGGGTTCACGGGTGAACGGCGTTGCAGGAACTTCCCCCTCGCACGGGCGCTATCACTCGTGCGCTCGAAACGCATTTAAAATTTTTGCGTGAAAACTTGCGATGACCGCAAGCCACGGTCCGGTACGATTTTTCCCCTCTTTCCACATCCTTTGTCTTTTCTTTTTAGTACGATTTTGATGTCCTACCTTTCGAGATGTTTGACAATATCTTCGTAGGCAGCTCGGCAGTTTTCCCAAACCGTCCCGGACCTGTGGAGCACAAAACAAAAGGCGGTTACGACACGAACAAAATGGAAAAGAAAGCCTAAGCGTCGGATAAAATGGCGACTAAAATCAAAAGGGAAACGGAAGGAGAAACGCGTTGTTTCGCGATCGTAATACTAGTCGCATAATCGCGAGGGGCGTCCTCCTGTGAGAGGACACGACTGATTAAGAGTCCTCGTTCCGTCTCATCTCGGCTACGACACGATTCCGACCATTGCCGAACGCACCGAGAATGAAGAGCCTTTGATGTCGTTGATTAAAAAAAAGAGATGTCAGCGCGGTAGGAGCGGAGTTAATTTGCGACCTAGGATCGCACCAGTCGCGGGGGAGGGGGCAAAAAAAGATAGGGGAAAGAAATGGATAAGTTAATCAGGGGGGACCGGATCTTCGTTTGCGTAATATATAAAAATGAAACGGAAATCAGGCATCAACGGCGCTTTGAAAATGCCCAAGTACATTATCCTGAAGAGAAGTTCCGGGACCCAATGTCAATACGCCTGACACGGTTTCCACGGACTTGCGTTGACGATTCGTTGTGTTTGCACGGCAGGAAACGGATCTCAATGTCAATGGAGAAAAGCGAGAAGGAAAAGCGAGGAGTAAACGGAGAGGAAAGCCGTACGTGTCATCCGTGGAAACTGGTCGAAGAGGTCACGCAGGGTGACGAAAGGTTGGCGCGGGGAAGTTGGACAGAGGGAAGAAGGAGATACGGCGGCGAGTTAAGGGGTGGCAGGACAAGGCAGGACGGGGACAGGGTGGGAAAGCGGGTGGACGCGGTGACGGTGGTGGCGTCGGTGTCCCAGGATGGGGTTGCGTTGAATTAATCATATTCCGGTGTTTGTCGTGGCGCCCCCAGACGTAATCCGTCTTACCTCCCGATCTCTCTCGCTCGCTCGCTCCTCCGTCGCGATAGATTTGCATTTTAATTAAAAGCAAAGCGCTGAAATCATAATGCGAAACGTGCGGCGCCGCCTTCACCGTGTCATTATACACGCCCGCGCGTATGCGTGTACGCGCGTTGCTAGCACACACGCACACGTTGTCTCGCACGTTGCTACATTCACTCACGAACGCACATCATGTTGTTAAGAAAGATTGAGACGCGTTAAAAATCCGGAGCGTCGGCTTTGCATCGAGAATAGTTTATATACGAAGTGCGTAAATCAGACTGTTCAGTGAGAGAAAAAAATATCTCTTTAATATGTTTTTTTTTTGTCTTCAGTCATTATTTATTGTTTGTTATTCGACGGGATTACCAAAAATCATTCTCCGAAACGCAGAACCGAGCAAAAGGAAGAAATTATCAAATCCCTGCGTCTGTCGTTAAGTCCCGATTTTCTGGGCGCGCGCCGCCTAAAGCGAACACTCGAGCAAAGGGGGTAACAGTTAGGAAGATGAGGCTAATTACACGGGGCGGATGTAATCGAAAATTAAGGCGAATCTCCGAATCCTCGAAAGCTTCGGCCGGCTATGGGAGTGTATCGCGGGAACGGCGCAGCAAGCAGGAACGTACCGAGAACATCTATTAGAAACGCGTTAACAAATGCCGGGATTAGCCTCGTGTCTATCCCCTCGAGTAAGGACGAGGATGTTGCTCCTTTGGTGCTCCTTTCTCTCTCTGTCTCTCTTTCTCTTTCTCTCGAGTCTTCGCGGCTCTCCACACACTTCACGAAGCCGAATAAGCCCCGATATTCGTCTTGGGACCGCGCGTAACGCGGCAAGGATTTGCCGTCTCAAGAAGGCCTTCATGTCTTCAAAGATGGCCTAACACCACAAGAGGGGTTTAAATGCTAGTAGAATTTCAAGGTCGATCCGAGTCATGAATAATAACACGTCTTGAGACAACGCGAGAGATTTGCCACGTCTTCGTGCAGTATGCAAGATTCAATTATTTCTCTTAATTATTTTTTATAAAATTATACACAATCTTATTATACTTATTATACACAATCAAGCTGCTTTACTCGGTCGGAAATTAAAATTCAATAAATTTACAAAACTTGCTTGATCGTGAATATACATCCAAGAAACAAGATTAATTATCGACGCGTTAGTGCGTCGCGGTGTAACGTAATCCAAACCGAGTAAACGACGAGCGTCTGAGAAAGTGAAATCGAAGGAAGACGCGAAGGCAAAAAAAAAGAGAAGTCGAGGGTAACGAGGAGAAGTGCAAGAAGGAGAAAGAGATCAAGCGGTGTCAAGACTCCTCGAATTTCCACGGCTTCGCTGTCTCTTCCAATCCTCTTAAAGTCGTATTCTTTTGGCCTCGCCGGCCAAAGCAATCGCCGTGAGGTACTTAGAACGGATAAATCCAATTTCCAAATGAACTGTCGATTAGCGCGAAAGCAGATGCAAAACTATAGGTGCACTACTATAGAAGAACGGAACTCGAAGTTTTAATTTTTCTGAGAGAAGCACCGAATGAGAGAGTTTCCATTTCACTCTCTGTCAATTTTATTGTGCCTCTCCTCGTGCATCGCTTATTACCATCTCGTCCGATACGACTTGTGGTCCCTGGCTCGTAAACTTCCTTGGGGAGGAAGTTAATGAAAATGTTTCCCGCTGCGCGGGGAAGCGCAGCTTCCGGAACATCGCAAGAGAAACGACAGTTTGCGGTTTCTCGACGCTCCTGACACGCCGAGATAAACCGAGAAAGGAAGGAGGGAAGGCTCACCTCGCGAGGGCTTCCATGTTGGTCATATTCGGGTTGACCTTGAGACCCTGCTCGGCTCGAGCCTGTGCTTGCGCTTGCAGGTGATGCGGTAGACTGGCCGGTGACAGGATAGCGGTATGTCCAGCACCTGGATGCCCGCCGAGCTGCATGAACTGCATGTGGCTCAGGTGCGTGGGTGGGTGATTGTATCCATTCGCCAGAAGCGGTGACTTTTCCATCCTTGGTACGTCTGCAAGCAGAATATACGTGCATTTAAGATTACGTTATATATCGTATGATTTAAACAACATACGCAACGTATTATAATCTCCCTTCTATCTCTCTGCGAAGAAACTGCGTAAATTCAATTATCGATCATCCTCCGCCTTTCATGGCTACGGCAATGGCCGGGAGGAAGGCTCATGAGATGAGAGAGAACCAAAGACTGACTGGGAAAGGGGGAGGAGAGCGGCCGTGTATCCGGATTTCACCGGAATCGGGTGAGACGTGTAGCTTCTGGCGAGCCAAGGATAAAGAGCGCTTTTGCGGACTTGATGGATCGCTGTGCCGCTTAACCAAATATCAATCACAACAGGCGGCGGCGCGTAGCCTCTGCATATAATCTGCGCGTTGATTCGCGCGTCCGCCGTTAGACCCGTGTGTTTGCGCGACGCCTTAGCTAGCCACCGTGATGGATACGCTCGCGAATCCGTGGGGCCTCGGGTAAACCACCGACCCGGGGTTTCATCGCCTGACTGTATCGATGCCTCCCCCTCCTCCTTCTCGTTTCGGGCTTATTTCCCATATATTCGATATCGAACGGCAGCACGCCTGTATTATTCTTCGTGGTTTGCTATCGTCTCGAATCCTCGATTTTTCAAGACAAG